ATTTATATAAGCTGATATAGTAATTTATTAATTATTAACTTAATATATAATATTTTTTTAGTAATTGAGAAGTTTATCACCAAGGCAATTGCAGGAGCAATTGCCATACTCAAAAGTAAAAGAAAAGGGCTTGAACTATCAAGCTCTAGCTCTAGTAGTACTAGTACTACTAGTAGCGAAGATGATTGAGGATAATCAGATAGTGAAAGCAGTAGAAGTCATTCTGGCAGTAGTGTTCGCTCTGCTAGCAGCAGCAGCAGCAGTCATAGTAGCAGTAGCGATAATCATAGATCACCAAGACAACTAATTAAGGAGCAAACAACCCACCTTCATGTAAATATATTTATTATCTAACTCTGTCATTTTTGAATAGATTATTATTATAATTATAATTATTATTATTATTATTATTATTATTATTATTATTATTATTAGTATTATTATTATTATTATTATTATAGGATGAAATTAAAGTATTAATAGAGGGTGGTAAATTGTCCTCTTTAAAACCAGATCCTCTGGTTAAATGGTCCAATTAGTTGAAGGCCATAAGATCAAAATTAATCCCAGCATTAATTAAAAATTTACCTGCGTATAAGCAACATTCTGGTGTGATTGAGAGGATTCTAAAGCAGCGTTATAAGATGCAGAAGCGTACTGTGCAAATAAATGCTGCCCCTGAATTACAGATGCATAATCACATCAGAATGGGGTGAAATAGTAAGATTAATAAGGTAAGAATAATATAATATTGACTTTATGTAAATTATTTTTAAATTATTTACTAAACGTTATTAACTATTTATAAGTCACAAATAATATAATATTGACTTTATGTAAATTATTTTTAAATCAATTCACTGAAAGTTATTAACTATTTATAAGTCACATACCAATATCACATAGAGTAAGGGTTGCATACAAAAATTTTGAATATTTCTAATTTATCTACTTAAGTTCAGATTATCTTTATAGGGACTATCATACAATATTATCCAGTGTTGTATTGGCATGTGACATATAATAAAATAACTTTCAGAAATTAAACACTATAATAATTAAATTTTTTTTTTATGAAATTAGAAGAGGAAAAGAAGGTGAAAGGCGTTGACTTTTTTAATTAAGTCAGGAAATAAAAAAATTTTAAGATACTCGTGCGACAACTTGGAGTTATTGACAAGAAGCAAAGGAGGAAATGCATATCATTCTGCTGAAGAATGGGTAACAGATGAGGATGCGACATAGAGAGATGGGGAGAAGCAGAAAAAATTAGTGCGTGTGGACAAATGGTGGTGTGGGCCGCATGTAAGTATACATATTATTATCAATACGAACTAGAATAAAATTAGCTAGTATTATATATAATACTAACTAAATTTATCATAGTATACATATATATATTAATAATGTATCGCCCTAATATATTATTTAGTTAAAAAGGCTTTTTCATAGATCTGTTTGTGAAGCAATCTAAAAATAAACGGATGATCAAACATCACTAGGAAGATCATATAGATAAAGAAGTAACACTGCCTCTAGATTGCTCTAGTTGAGCTCTATCACCCGAAGTAATAGAACAGTATAATATTATTGCACCGGAATTTGATGCTGACTTTTCAAGTGGGGAAGAAGACCCAAGAAAAAAGAAAAAGGTGAAAAAAAGAAAAGAAGGTAAAGGAACAAGTAAAAGAAACGATAGAGATGATAAAGGTGACAATAATAGAGTTGTACTATATAAACAAAGGAAAATGAATAAAGAAAGAAGTCCCCTTCCAAGTCCGCAAGATGCAATGAAGTGGCCCAAAACCACTACCACAGCAACTCCCAAATTAGCAACCCTAGCAACCACCAAAGCAGCAACCCCAGCAACCACCAAAGCAGCAACTCCAGCAACCACCAAAGCAGCAACTCCAGCCACAGGAGAACTATTACTAATCGAATTAACAACACTAGTATCTAGTCCAAGAAGACTAGAAACGCCCATAGGTGAAGTTGTCAAAACAAAAAGGCAATCATTAATTTATAATATTGAAGATATTGAAGGTGAGAGTGAAAGTGAGAATGAAAGCGAAGATGAATGAGAAGGTGAAGATGAAGGTGAAGGTGAAGGTGAAGGTGAAAGTGAAGGTGAAGGTGAAGGTGAAGGTGAAGGTAAAGGTGAAGGTAAGGGTGCAGGTAAAAACAAAAAGGACCAAAGGAAAAGAAAAAGGTAAAGGGAAAAGAGTAAAGCGAGAAAAAGGCGATAACTAAAATATTGTTATATTTTATTGTTAAAAATCAGAATATAAGCTTATATCATAAATATCTATAGGTAAATATTAGATTTAATATAAAATCAAAATAAAAAACATAAATATTGGCTACGATATATTAAAACAGTAAATATTAAATTGATGCAAAATGCTAAATATAATATTATATAAATCGGTAAATATCATTACAATATCAAAAATAATCAGAGTTTATCATAAAAAATCTTCAAAATATCACAATAGTAACAGTTAAAATAACTAAAATATCGTCTTAAAGAAAAGCAGATATGAAGAAAATAAATATATCATTTATTATCAATAAATAATCTACTAAATCTGTAAAATATCGTCTAATTGATTTTATTAAAAAAAACAAAAAATATCAGTAAATATTGTTACAATATCAATAATAATCAGAGTTTATCATAAAAAATCTTCAAAATATCATAATAGAAACAGTTAAAATAACTAAAATATTGTTCTATAGTAAAGCAATATGAAAGAAAATAAATATATTATTAGTTATCAATAAATAAACTACTTTATCTGAAAAATATCGTCTAATTGATTTTATTAA